GGCAACTCGGCAGACATACCTGATAAAGGAAGAGGAGGCAGACGCCATCACCTTACCTCCGATCGACTCGATTGCCGCGGTGCCACAGTATGTGGACACAGCCTACCATAAAGCCATAACAGTTCAAACGCCAGAGGCGTTTATGTTCTTGGCCTTTATAGATCTAGAAACGATCAATGAGATTCTTATCACCAGATTTCGTGGACACGACTTCTGAAGATGATGGATGATCTACTCGGCTCTACTTATGCAGAACCAGCAAGAACCACACCCTGTATGAAGCTAACGCTCATATATTGATCGGACTCTAGACACTTCGCTAAGGAAGTCCCAGGCCACCTCAGCGAAGGAGCTAGAGCCTCACCAGTTACAAGGGCGATCCACGGAGGAGTAGCGGCTTCACCCGACCCCCACATATTGCTGAGTCGGCGTAAAACAAAACACTCACTCACTCACTCCTGTTGAACACAGAGGTCGCTTAAGTGAAGCAAGCGCCATATATTATATATATACTGATCGGGCTCTGACTCGATACCTTCGCGAAGGTCGCGAAGGCTAAGTGGCTCCAAGTCTCTCTCACACAGAAAATCTAGAATGGATACTTCGAGCTTGGCGAAGTCTCCGGCGTCCACCGAGGAAATCTCCTCAAGGTCTCCATATATTAGCCACTCGCCATATATAGCTACTCCGTCAGTCCGTTTCAAGACATCGCATAAGTTGTCTATCAACTGTATGCCATATGCCGCCTATAAGCCTACACGCTAAGACAATTGCACAGGCTATTTACAACACAGAACGCCGCTGTATTAATTAATCAACGACGCTTCATAGATCTTCACAGGAATCAACCTTTCCAGATAGATTGCTAGAATATGCAATCCCGACTACTGATCGATTATCTACATGTGACCATTACGCAGATCTGCAAACAATTCAATATCGAAATTGAACAGCAGCCTTGTTACAGCGAGTATAAACTCATAATCGCCAAAGTTTCTGAGAAGAAATATGTACAACAAGTTCAGCCTTAATTCTACAATTATGACGATACATTCATGTATACAGTCTATAAGCTGACAACTTGCAAGTTTATTGTACCTTTATATAAGGAAGTCGAATTATATTCAAAACTGAACTTACTTTCACGACAGCCAGGAAAATAACCTACCCAGCATTAATATTACAGAGCGAGGTATTTCGCGGAGGTTTTCGTTTACCTTTAACCCTCGAAACACGTGGTCACTCGGGTAACTTTGGGAAGCTACGGTGAAGACCGACAATTATGCTAATATCAACGACGGCAAGATTTTATACAAGGTTTTTCCTGCTACACCGGTGACATCACAGCTGGTATTCTACAGAATCAAAATGCCTTGTTCTGATTGGACCGGCGTTGGACAAATCGACCTCACGCGAGAGGTCGATCTTAGTTCACAGTTCAAGACTTACGTTACAAGTGACAACTATATATCAGTGAGCGAGCAATCCCTCCTTACAGTCCAGTTAATCTGAACCTTCATGATTGGGCTGCTTTCTTCAGGTTAGAGACCTCCCCTGTCAAGTTAGGGACGAGGCACGGCAGTCAGGCAATTTTACATAAAGTTCAACGAGGACAGACACACCTGGTTGTGCACCTACATCGTCCAAGGACTTCAGCAGCTTAATAACCTAGACGACGGGATACAAGTGGATCTAAATCCACATCGTCTCAGACTACAGCTGAATTTCATAATCAAGCTACTAACACAACTAGATGGTTAGTAAACCTACTTAAACTTTCTGATTGGAGAATTAAAACGGAAGTTTCACCCTCCAACTTGGGATCTGAATATAGTGCTCCAACACCTCACAAGTGAGGTTTATGAACACGCCTGGATGACATACTTGGACTCCATGATAATGATGATACTATCACGATGGCCAGCAAGAGCACTGTAAATTTATCTCCAATCAACCAAAACAGAAGGGAAAAATGCAACAGATTATTTCCTCTATCATCAACTTTACGCAGAATGAAATCTCACGCATTACTATATCTCCATTTGGATCAGAACTGTCATACTACGTGCATACAAGACGGATGGACCCAATCCGACCCTCCATGAGCTTTAATACTCTTGATATTAGAGCTAACTTCTACAATTGATCTACACAAATGTTATTTGAAATAATGGAGGGTTTATTTTCTGGAGATCCCGATATGGTGGTTGCCAACCATTATCTGAGAGATATCATCACCGAGGACGCCTCAGGTATCCACCAATTGATCCCATGGTCCTCGCACAACAGTTGACAGTTCTCGGAGAAGATAAGTCAATCTTACAGATTTCTACTTATCTTATAACAGTACTAAATAGCTACATGCTATATATAATTTGCTTAAGTTCTTTTTATCATCACAGTACTATGATTATTACATCATACAATATATAAGTTAACAACTCTACAGAGTTGGTTATTATATATTTACCTTAAGTTAATTATATCTTAAGCATAGTACTATACTCATATTGTAAAAATATATAAGCTAACAAACTCTACAGAGTTTGGGCTATTATATAGGTAGCTTAAGCTTATTCATATCTTAAGCTCAGTACTATGTTTATATCATATAAGTATATTAGCTAACAAACTCTACGGAGTTTTTGCTATTATATATGTAGCTTAAGGTTTCCTTCAAATCTTAAGCTCAATACTATGTTTATATCATATAAGTATATTAGCTAACAAACTCTACGGAGTTTTTGCTATTATATATGTAGCTTAAGGTTTCCTTCAAATCTTAAGCTCAATACTATGTTTATATCATATAAGTATATTAGCTAACAAACTCTACGGAGTTTTTGCTCTTATATATGTAGCTTAAGGTTTCCTTCATAAGCTCAATACTAGGTTTATATCATATAAGTATTTTTAGCTAACAAACTCTAAAGGGTTTTTGCTATTATACAATTAGCTTAAGTTTCATCATATCTTAAGCAGTATGGTTACATTATAAAATGTATTAGCTAACAAAACTCTGAGGAGTTTTGCTATATTATATATATATATAGCTTAAGTTTAAATTATATCTTAAGCTCAGTACTATGGTTATAACATAAAAGTATATTAGTTAATAAACTCTAAGGAGTTTTTTTGCTATATACATTTAGCTTAAGTCTAATCTTATCTTAAGCTTGGGTACTATGGTTACATTATAAATCTATAAGCTAATAAACTCTACAGAGTTTTGGCTATTGTATATGCAGCTTAAGTTAATTATATCTTAAGCACAGTGCTATACTCATATTGTAAAATATATTAGCTAACAAAACTCTACAGAGTTTTGCTATTATATATGTAGCTAAAGCCATTCATATCTTAAGCTCAGCACTATGTCTATATCATATAAGTATATTAACTAACAAACTCTAAAAGAGTTTTGCTATTATATAATTAGCTTAAGTTTAATCATATCTTAAGCTTAGTACTATGTTTATATTTTAAAGTAATTTAGCTAACAAACTCTAAGGAGTTTATACTAGCATATTTACAAGCTTAAGTCTATTAGTCTTAAGCATTGTATTAATGTTATATATACTTTTATCATAATAAGTACATTGTAATAACCTTTATATGGCAGCTGATAAGTTAGCAGCAGGAATTCATCAGTTCAGTGCCTTTATGGAAGTTCCCCATAGGGTTATTACAGTCATCACAGTTCAAATCACTAATTATTAAAATCCAAAGTATTATATATTCCCACCTCCCTCTGCCCAGGATTCTACAAACCAAAAGAGCATGAGTCAGGATAAGGAAAAATATGTAATTTTTGAGTAAAATTGATATTTTATACTTATCCTGACTCACATGAGGTCAGCTCCTCCCATCCTCCCACATAACACTTTGGATTTCCTGTAAATTCAAAATGTTGGGCCTCAGTATATGAGGAGAGAGTGAGGCACATGGGTAGAGGTGGCGCCCTCGTTCCCGAGCTTGTGGAAGGGAGGTAACTCGTGGTGTACTAATTAGTGATTTTACATTGAAGGGAACTTCAATTAGGGAGATACAAGTGTTCCACTATGTTCGCAAGAGGAAGAAGACAAGCAAAAGAGCATGAGTCAGGATAAGTATAAAATATCAATTTTACTCAAAAAATTACATTTTTAATGCATGCTTTCATTTTGTATACGCACTGATTATTTTATTCATTGATTCAGCAAATTGAAAATGCCTAATATTCCACTCATGAATGAAACGTTTGTTTTGGAAGCCATTTGCAATCATCACCCATTCGTGTGCCCACAAAATGTGACGTCACCTTGTTTCGTGGATTACGTAGTCTGTTACTTTATAACACATATGTATGACATCCCACTGCAGTAAGTACTGACACCAAGGAAAGCAGACAACGAGAAGTGAGAATGTTGGAGCTAACAGTATCTTTTTTACTTGACATTTTGTAAAAATAAAATTTGGTAATGGTGGTATTAGTGATTTGGGGCTATTTATCTCCATGCTGGACAATTACATTAAGTGTACTTGCGTGTAATGCAGAGATTTGGAACTTTTGTCAGCGCAGGCGTGGCATTGTATGTACATCAAAGTACGCTTGTAACGTCAGACGAGACTTAATTTCTGAGCTAGCTTGATAATTTTTGCAATCCAGTTAAATCAAGGTTATCCGTGAATTTAGGTTACACTTCTGGACTGAATTTCAAAGCAGATTGAAATGATAGAACTAGCAGATTACATAGACTACACAGTCATATCTTGATCTTTTTGTGTCAAACAATTTTGCGCTCGTGCAAAACCTATTACTGTGTAACTGTATTTGGGCCTGAAGCCTTAATTCTAAAATAGAAATATCAATTGAAGATGAAAGTATTTTCCTGTCTACTCTGAACAGTTTTGTTACATGTTTTTTAACTATCCATATTTACTGCCTAGTCCAGGTGTAATATTTGTAATAATTCATATGGGTAGAGATATGTGACAGCATTGTATTTATTGTGTTTCAGAAGAGGATTGCGAACCTTACCTACCTGGCAACAGTGGAAGTGATAGCAGTGACAGTGATGGAGAGCGTGAGGTGGCGGAGGGAATTGATGGGGAAGCAACAGGTAGGTAGGAGAGGAGACAGGTGAACAAGGGGGGTAGGCAGACAGACAGGTGCACCACCCAATAATTTTGGTCAGCGGGGGGTAAAGGGGAGCTGCAGTTGGGGAGATGTATGGATGGAGAGAGGCAGGGAGACGGAGCCCTACACAGGTGTGATAGACAGGCAGATGTGCCAAGGGATAGGAGAGGGGAGCTGCAGTAGGAGAGATGTATGGTTGGAGGCAGGGAGACAGAGCCCCACATAGGTGTGATAGACAGGCAGATGTGCCAAGGGATGGGAGTGGGGACCTACAGGGATGAAAGAGGTGGAAGCTAGGGCATTGCTGGAATTAATGATTTGGTTGGAATAATGCTGAGGGTAATTTTTAACCTATAATCCTGCATTCAAACGATTAATGATACAGTGTATTTGCTGAGCATGCCTAATCTACACTTGCTCAAAGTGATTCATTATCAAAGGATCATTGAGATCTCTCCTTTCCCTATGGGGTATACAGTCAAATCCTTCACAAGTGATTACAGTTACATAACCATCTCATCCTGCCAGATACCCATCTCATCCTGCCATATACCCATCTCATCCTGCCAGATACCCATCTCATCCTGCCAGATACCCATACCAGGCATATTGCAAACAAAGGAGACACATGTATTCAGTGTATGGCAATATCAAAGCCTGTGAGGTGAGGTGAAATTGGGTTTTACGTCGTGCTTGAGAATATTTCACTCATATGACGATGTGCATGCGTGTGTACGTGTATGTGCGGCTGCTTGTACTAGCCCAGACTGAAGCTGGTTTTATAGTGCTAGCCCACTGAGACACCATGCCGCAGTGAAGCATGAATACCCCACTCAGACACATTATACTGACTCCGAGCCGACCAGTCCTTGTTGTACCCACTAATGCCGAGTGCCAGGCAGGGACCAACAAGTACCATATTTGAACGTCGTTTGGTATGACGCAGTCGGGGATCGAACCCGCGACCTTCCGCTCTCCGGGCGGATGCTCTAACCACTACACCACGGAGGCGGTCTATCAAAGCCCTTGAAGTCTAGTTTACCATTTAACTACTGTATGACACCGAGGGTACGTAAGTATGGGATGATATAAATCCAGCTAGGGTCCATGCAGGTAGCAAACGTAATGTAAGTCCCCATGGTCCCTAATTTGGTGATCTACCTTCAGTTGTTGGCGATCTATACCCAGTTTTTTTTATTGTATTGTCCAAATAGTGCTATTAGTTTTAACTTTCCACACTAGTTTTAGTTGTAATTGTGATATTCTAGTTGTTTTACTGTCCTTCGTCGACAGGTTTTTATCATATACATATATTCCATTTCAATGTCAAATATGCTCTCATCACGATATGGCTGCAATTGTGCCGATGTGACGTCCCACACACAACTAAGGTATTTCGGCGACAGGGTAGTACACTTATTAAGAAATGAGGGGAAACAAAAAATAGAAATTTTGAAAGAGTGGTGTTACGTACACAGGACCACATACCAACTATTTTATCTCAAGTTGTTTATTCACTTCTTGGGTAAACAGTCATCATGGCAACCAAACACTGGGAGTTCAGGTATCAAAGCATGTGTATTGTATCAACGCATAATGTTAGGTATGTCGTTGAAGACAGAGATTTTAACTTGTTTATTTTTTAATGAGGTGTTTCAGTACAGGTGCTTTTGCCTTTATCAAAGTGAACCTCTTGCTTCAGAAAGGTACAGCACCTGTTCTAGCACCTGTACCAAAACATCATATCTGAAGGAATAAAGAACTTAACTCCATCAGTCAGAGAATCTCTCTCTTTACGTATACTGCATCCTTGATAATCTCTAGGGTATACGGGGAGGTGGGGTAGCCTAATAGGTAAAGCGTTGGCTCGTCACGCCGAAGACCCGGGTTCGAATCCCCACATGGGCACAATGTGTGAAGCCCATTTCTGGTGTCCCCTGCTGTGATGTTGCTGGAATATTGCTAAAAGCGGCGTAAAACCAAACTCACTCAGTCTAGGGTATACGTTCCGATAAATTCTCCATTAGTACCCTCGATGCATCCCCGATAATTTTATTACATGTACCTCCCTTTGCTGGCTCCGCATTCTCACAGTAGAGCCGTAGATGCATCCAGGGTATAGTGGAGATTTTATCGGAACGTATACCCTGGAGATATCGAGGATGCTTATACTGCAGTTTCTGAAAATATCACATAGTGTCTTGTATCATGGTAAATGACTTCATGTAAACGCTAGTGTGGTGGCTGTTGTTACAGAGGCTGGTGTTCAGTGTGACGAGAAGGGGTCTGATGGTGATGATGAGGCAGAGTCGGAGACTAAACATGATGAAGAGGCGAAGGAAGAGCAGGAGGAAGTGAAAGAAGAACACTCAGGTGGAGAGGAAGAGAAGAAGGAGGAAGAGGAGGAAGAAGATAAAAAGGAAGAGGAAGAAGAAGAGAAAAAGGAAGAGGAAGAAGAGAAAAAGGAAGAGGAGGAAGAAAAGAAAGAGGAAGAGGAGAAAGTAAGACTCACCCACCGACTATCTGACGGATTGACTTGGGGTTTTACTCCTTTGAGCATATTCCAGCAGTATCACTTAGGGTTTTGGTCTGGGAAGCTGGTACAAATATATGCTAGAATAACAGCTTTACATCTTTTATTTGAAACAACAAATTTATTGTTTATTGGTTTAGTTAGAATTTAAGATATTGCTGATGTCCTAACTATGTGTTGTAGGCTTAAGGTTCTGGCATTAACTGTTTGTAAATATGTAATGAGAAAAGAACCTTGAAGAACACAAGCTACAATGTAGAGCATTCATTCAGTGTAGGATTCCGAATCCTAATTTCTGATGATTACAAGTTGATATACTGGTTACAGTTCATACTATTGATTGTTCTATCAATTTTAATGTTAACTTGTGATTTTGAATTTGCTGCTATTGGTAATCAGGAGCGTAGCTACCATTATAAAAAAAAAAAGCCCGGGCTTACACATGATTGCTAAAAGGTTGGGCAAGCCCTCAATACTATTTAAATATAAAGCTTTGCATCCTATTGGGCTTACACGTAAAAATTGGCTTGTTGCGGTAATTACTTATTTCGTAGTTTGCTGTGACCTGGACTTGACTTTGTCAGGAGGAAGAGGAGAAAGAAGCTGAGGATGTTGGTGTCATTTTGGATGGCAATGCTGAAGAATTCACGCCAACTGTTGTTGATGCTGATAGCTTCTCTGCAGAGAAGGATGCAGAGGCTCTCAAACAGGCCATGAGAGGTTCAGGTGGGTGTTTCCTTGACAATTTGGGACAGTTGGGTAGCATCGTGATTAAAGGGTTAGCTCATCACACCAAAGACTCTGGTTTAATTGCTCACATGGGTACAATGTGTGAAGCCCATTTCTAGCATCCCCTGCGTGATATTGCTGGAATATTGCTAAAAACGGTTTAAACTAACTCCCCTCACTCACTCACTCTGTTACACTTCTGGCTTCAATCAACAGTAGTTACCAGTACAAAGCTACTACAGCTTGTATCCTAGAATTTAGAGACTAAGCTTCATTTTATCTTTACCTCTTTACCTCCATCTTGACTGTGTCTCTGTGAGGTAAGACCGCCTCCGTGGTGTAGTGGTTAGCGTCCCTACCGAGAGCGGAAGGTCGCTGGTTCGATCCCCGACCGCGTCATACCAAAAGACATTAAAATATAGTACTTGTTGGTCCCTGCCTGGCGCTCGGCATTAATGGGTACAACAAGGACTGGTCGGCTCGGAGTCAGTATAATGTGTCTGAGTGGGGTATTCATGCTTCACTGCGGCATGGTATCTCAGTGGGCTAGCACTATAAAACCAGCTTAAGTCTGGGCTAGTACAAGCAGCCACACATACACATACCCATGCATGCACGTCGTCATATGAGCGAAATATTCTCAAGCACGACGTTGAACCCAATTTCACCTCACCTCACCTCTGTGAGGTAATGTAGGACTGGGACGGGTCCAAATTGTCTACCCGGTTACCCCACCCCCTATTACCCTACCCTACCCAGATACCCGTTATGTTAATTCCTGACATCAAATTTGCAAGAAATGGCAATATATTCTTCTAAAGAGGCTAAAATTTCGAGTTTTTCAATATCTTAACCATGTATTATATTCAAAGGAAGTGACTGTTATTATGTCTAAATCTTCAAAGACAATACAACCTTTTAATCATGAAAGAATAACATATTACATTGTTTAGTCTATTAGTCACATGATCATAACGGGTCTGGGTCCAACTCAGTGCCCACTTGTCCTGGGTATCAGGGTGTCACAGCCCTAAAGGTGTGGATATATTTGTGTGCATGTTCCTTAATTCCGTGTTCCATCAGTATATCAACACTGTTATCAGCTATCATTCAAATGTCACGATACAAAAAAATCAGTATTTCTCCGTAGATGAATCTGTTTGGGGGTTATGCCATGAGTGGTTATTAACCATATTTCTTGTTTGTCTAGGTACAGATGAGGTCAGTTTGATCAACATTGTGGGTCAGCGGTCAGGTCACCAGAGGCATGAGACAGCTGTTACATACAAAACCATGTTTGGCAAGGTAAGGAAGAGGCAGCCGATTGGGCAAAAACATAAATCAGAATGCAACACTGAATTCTCAAGGTGGCCATAAGAGATCTGCATGTGTTTGTGGAGAGTTGCCAATCTTATTGTAATCATCGAGCCCATGTTAGGGACCCAATGCAGATAGGAATCTGAGAGCTTGTTATGTTTCTTATACTGTAACATAGACTGACACTAGTTATATTGGTATGATCCCAGACAAATGGGACCCGAAGCCTGTACAGTATCTGCTTATGCCTTATTGCTGTTGTGGCAAGTCTGGATTTCTTGAGACCGCCTCCGTGGTGTAGTGGTTAGAGCGTCCGCCTGGAGAGCGGAAGGTCGCTGGTTCGATCCCCGGTCGCGTCATACCAAAAGACGTTCAAATATGGTACTTGTTGGTCTCTGTCTGGCGCTCGGCATTAATGGGTACAAGGACTGGTCGGCTCGGAGTCAGTATAATGTGTCTGAGTGGGGTATTCATGCTTCACTGCAGCATGGTATCTCAGTGGGCTAGCACTATAAAACCAGCTTAAGCCTGGGCTAGTACAAGCAGACGCACATAAATATTCTCCACATACACACACACACGCATGCACGTCGTCATATGAGCAAAATATTCTCAAGTATGACGTGGATTTCTTGCCACATTAGCTGTTACCTAAAGTACCTTAATCTCCCTTGTCTGCAGAATTCTGTCATTGTAGAAATATTGCAGACATATTGCAGTTATTTTTTCTATCTTGGTTTATAAAGTACACAAATATACCTAACTGTTATGCTAACAATATTTAATCCATGATTAACCTGTAGAAATCATAAAAATGTTCAAATTGTAGAACTACAATTAAAGAACTTTAGTGTGAAATACTACTAATTTTTTGGTCCATTTTAGTGCAGGATAGTATTGTATTTTTATAGATTGAAAGTTTTACCACAAACATGATCAGATCCACTTTGTCTTCAGAGACAATGTCTTTATATATTCTGATACTAGTACTAATGAATTCAGTGGAGAACCAAATATTCCCATCAACTACAATCAACACATGTGCCTTGGGAAGAATTCTTGATAAGGTCACAGTATCCCATGCTTGTCGTCAGAGGCAACCCAAAGGAGTTTGGAACTGGCTTGGTGTACAGGTTGATGATGTGTCCTTGTTCCATAGCTGCATGGATCAGTCTCACAATATCAATCACTTGATTGTCTGGTCCTGACGTATTTGCGGGCTGCCATCATACAGCTGGAATATTGCTGTGAGTGTGGCATTAAGCAATGACCAACAAAGCATATACAGTCAAATCCTGATGAGTCGAATCGCTGGGGACCAAGTAATAAATTCGACTTATCGATGTATTCGAGACATAGGTATGTCTATGAGGGTAGAAAAAAAGATGATCCAGTCCTAATTCCTCCGCCTAAGCATTTGTTTACCTAATGATTTCCCTATCACTAATAGGGGCACCTTATCAGTTCCTGTCTGATTAGCACAGACAGTGATTTCCGTAAAATCACTAATCTGCCTTTTGAACTCGCCCGTCAATGGCGGAAAGGTGTGAGCCGCACTGGTTTGTTAATTGGATCAGTTTGCTACACCAATCAACTTCTCATTGACTGACTTCGGCTTATGTGTACAAGATTGCTGTTGTTTGAATCTCATGGGACCAAATTTCCTTCTCGAGTCATCGTGTGTATTTATGAGACGAATTCGTGTAACCGGTATTCAAATGATGACAACTATAACAGGGAATGGTCGGGACCGACAGGTACTTCGAGTTATGCATAATATTCGAGACACCGGCATTCGACTCATCAGGATTTGACTGTATGTAGAGGTTTGACCTGTTCCCAGGACCTGCAAGAAGACCTGAAGTCTGAGTTGAGCGGAGACCTTAAGGAACTGATGCTGGGACTCTTCAAGGATCCAGCTTACTATGATGCTTGGTGTCTGAAGGAGGCCATGGAGGTTAGTATGCCAGTTCCTGGAGGTCCATATGTTAGGTCCTGGATGTGACAGGGAAGGAGGTCCATTTGTTTCGACCTGAAGGTCAATATGTCAGTTTCTGGAATTCCATATGTCAGTATGTCAAGCCACAGGTCAGTATATCAGGCCCTGGAGGTCAATGTCAGTTTGTTGAGGTCAATGCTTGTACAAGTCTATATATAAGGTCCTTGAGATAATATTATTCTCATGGACACTGAAATCAACTGCATGAAGAAGCCATCTAAAACCCATCTGTCTCATTCATTCAAAGCAATACTGATAATTCATGAGAGATTACATGAGTCATTTACATGCAGCAGCTGTCTTGAAAGAAAGATGATTTGACAAGGGCATATTGAACAATTTGTGAATCTCCTTTCCTAAAATTATTTTTTTCTATTATCTTTTAAATTTAGATAGAAGACAGAAAGTTATTACCTTGGATTTTACTTGACTAAAAAAAAACACCACCAGAATACTCATCTAATATCTGTGAAATCAACAGTTGGTATTTTCAGAAGTCAGTATCATGTGTCTATGGCATAACCTTGTGTCTGCACTATGGAATTAGAATTGGGCATGTCAGTACAAGTAGACACGCTTGCATGGACATTGATATGGAAGTAAACTGAATCTTCAGTGTGATGTTACACCCCACTTCACCTCTCCTCGTTTGTTGAGAGATGTTCATTTTATTCCTGTTGTTTTTCAGGGTCCAGGAACTAAAGATCACATCTTGATAGAAATTCTCTGTACTCGAACAAATGACCAGATAGCTGCCCTTGCAAGCAATTACAAGGAGCGTATGTATATTTTCTTGTTAAGGTTATTGCGTATTATGAAATCAAAGCATTAAGTGACATCAGAGTCATTCAGAGGAAAAGTAAAATCTCTTAATTCATAATAGAATTTTCAAACTATATCCTCAATGGCTTCAAGCGCTAGAACTTTGCAGCCCCAAAGCCAAAACCTAGACATCTCAAATCCCTACATCCCAACCCCAAAACATATCTAACACCCATACCCTCAAACATATTTCAAAGATGACAAGTTGAAGTTGCCACAACTAGCATAGTAAGGGAGGTAATCATGAATGACAAGCATTTTACAAGGGAGGTAATTGCAAATCCAACCATACAAAGGGAGGTAATCGTTGCAAGCTTCATCATAGACAATTCTATGTTTTGTTTTCAGACTTTGGAAGAGAACTTGAGCAGGATATCATTGAGGACACTAGTGGTCAGTTTAAACGTCTGATGGTGTCGTGTTGTCAGGTGAGTTGTTTTTTGATTGAATTTCATTAATTGTACGATATTTTTGTATTCTTTGCTAATCTATATTTAGCCTATTTTAGCTGGCAGCATTTGAATAGGTGTGTCTCAAAGAATTATATCATTTGATTGAATGTTTAACAAACCAGCTTGTTCACACAGTGGGTCTGTAATGAGTTGTCTGTACATATTGACTGTGAATTAAACTTGAGCAGCAGTGGTCAGTTTAAACGTCTGATGGTGTCGTGTTGTCAGTATGGATTGAATTTCATTAATTGAGATGTATTCTTTGGATAGCATTGTCAACATTTGATTGAATGTATCCTTGTTCACACAGTGGGTCATGAGTTGTCTGTACATTCTTGTAATGGGATGGGTTGTCTGTATGTACTGTCTGATGGTTATGTATGAGGGCTGCTTGTCAATGGTGAGGTCCGATGGCCGGGAGAGTGTCTGGACTAAATTACATTCTGTACCCACAATGAATTGTTGGCAGAGAGAAGCTGGAGACGGTGAGGTCCGATGGCTGGGAGAGTGTCTTAACTAGTTAAAAATGGTTTACACAAGGCGCTCACCATGAGTTCTTTGGCAGAGGAGAGGTGAGGTGCTGGTTGGGAGAGTGTTGTGGACTAACTGATAGTTCTGTACACAGGTTGCCTGCAATGAGTTGTCACCTGAGCAGCTGGAGACGGTGAGGTCCAAGGGCTGGGAGAGTGTTGTGGACTAACTCGATAGTTCCGATAGTACACAGGTTGCCTGCAATGAGTTGTCACCAGAGCAGCTGGAGATGGTGAGGTCCGAGGGCTGGGAGAGTGTTGTGGACTAACTGATAGTTCTATACACAGGTTGCCTGCAATGAGTTGTCACCAGAGCAGCTGGAGATGGTGAGGTCCGAGGGCTGGGAGAGTGTTGTGGACTAACTGATAGTTCTATACACAGGTTGCCTGCAATGAGTTGTCACCAGAGCAGCTGGAGATGGTGAGGTCCGAGGGCTGGGAGAGTGTTGTGGACTAACTGATAGTTCTGTACACAGGGTGCCCACAATGAGTTGTCAGCAGAGCAGCTGGAGATGGTGAGGTCCGAGGGCTGGGAGAGTGTTGTGGACTAACTGATAGTTCTGTACACAGGGTGCCCGCAATGAGTTGTCGGCAGAGCAGCTGGAGACTGTGAGGTCCGAGGGCTGGGAGAGTGTTGTGGACTGGGATCAAGCCAAGGAGGATGCTCAAAGATTGTTTGATGCTGGGGAGGACAAATGGGGGACGGACGAGTCTACGTTCCGTCAGATATTAGCCATCCGCAACTACTACCAGCTGCGAGCTGTGTTTGTAGAATATGAGAAGGTAAACAACATGAATTCTCTGTTCTATGCAGTTTAAGACACATGCTTATAGTAAATATCTATAAAGGTAAAACAATTCTTTATGTCTAAAATGTAGGACTTACTTTGTTAACGTATACAGCTGGAATGTTCTTTAACTTCTTTTGGTGGGATGTAAATAACCTAGGCCCCCGTTCCTCAAAGCGATCGTAGCGCTACATCAGTCGTAAGTCTATGTTAAAGTGTTGGAGTTACAATCAACTTTGCGCTACGATCGCTTTGAGGAACGAGGCCCTGGATTCCAGATTCCTTGAACTTCTTTGAACCTTTTGTGTGGTAACGTTTGTTCTCCTTTCAGATAGCAGGATGTGATATCTTGGAGTCCATAGCAAGTGAAATGTCTGGCAATTTGGAAAGTGGTTTAAAAGCTCTAGGTATTATTTTGTTACATCATCTGAAAGTGGTTTCTGAAATGATAAAGAGAGGATAGATCTGACCCACGTGACTTTTTTATTAGATTTTCCCACATGACAACATAGGACAACTGATTATCTCCCTTACATAGAAACTTCGGCAATATGGGGACCTAGTATTGGAGTTCCTCTTAACATATTAGCCTATTCTTCTGGGCTAACAAGGATGTTCTGTATAAAACATCCATAAAAACAAGATTCAGCCTCATTGTGTTGATAAATAACAACAATTGTCCTTTGTGATATGTTTTTAATGAAAGGTGTTCAGTCTTACTGTAGAGTTTACTTTCTTTCTTTTTCAGTCAGAGCAGCTAGAAACAGGCCAGAATATTTTGCCGACAAACTTCACAAGGCGTTGAGTGGGCTGGGTACAAAAGATACCACACTTATCCGAATCATTGTGTCTAGATCTGAGGTTAGTGTGGTTCATCATGTGTATTTGTACGTTATCTGTCCTCAATGGGATATTATCCTCTCAAAGATTTTGACTTTTATCTGAAACTGTTATAGTTATCTGGTTATACTAATTTACATGATCTGTTATGATTTGACTTACATGTGTTCTCCTATCTGACTCTGATAAACAAGGTAGATTCAAATGAAAAGAAGACTTGTATATATAGGGAGTGAGTGAATTTAGTTTTACGCCGTACTCAGCAATATTCCAGCTATATGGCGGCGGTCTGTAAATAATCGAGTCTGGACCAGACAATCCAGTGATCAACAGCATTAGCATTGATTGGGAACCGATGACATGTGTCAACCAAGTCAGCAAGCGGGACCTTCACTGGTCAGTGTTTTTTATAATGTTTGACAATTACCACTATTGTTATTATGGAAACCAAATGATAGTTTTTACACCAAAAATGTAGATACGAACATTTTTATGTATATATTTCTTTTAATATATCCACATGGGCAAAATGTGTGAAGCCCATTTCTGGTGTCCGGTGCCGTGATATTGCTGGAATATTGCTAAAAGCGGCGTAAAATCAAACTCACTCACTCACTCACTCACTTTTAATCTATTTATACTATTTTAAATGATTACTGTTGTAATAAACCTTTATGTGTTCTCAGATCGACTTGGCGGACATTAAGGAGGTATTCCAGGGGAAGTACGAGAAGTCCCTGTCAGCAGCGGTGGAGTCGGACACATCCGGGGACTACAAGCAGCTTCTGCTTGCTATACTGGGCTAATAGTTTCCTATATCTCTCTGGTGATGACCATCTAGGTGGTGGGATATCCTTGTTTAGCCAGTTCAGAGACCCTATCCACAAAGCATTTGTAGCACTACGTCATTCGTAGCGAGTGCGTGAAATAGTATAGAATTACGGTAGGTCGTAACTTTACGAACGCTTTGTGGATCAGGAACCAGGCCAGCCATAAGTCTATAGGAGCTCTGTGTACCTGGCCTTGTCTGGTCATGTCACCTGTGTTTTCCTATGTTAGACTTTGACAGGTCGACATGACCTGTCTTTGTCTCTGATTGCTCCATATTATCTGCGTATACCTACTTTATTTCTTTATCTAGTCAATATATATACTTTTTGTGTACCTGGTTTGGTCTGCTAGTATTCCATCTATGCTATGTGTAGTCATTATTATACTACAATATAGTTCTAGATCTGTAAGGATTTTGTTGTTTCAAGATGGGAAGGTGTTTGAGCTGATGTCTTTCTGAATGTTTGGCACCATTGAATGGAGTGATGATATGAAGTTAGATTTGTTATATTCTCGAGCATATTGGAATCAAATTCTTGTTTTGACAAAGAGGAAACATGTTTTTCATCAGTTTATGCAACTTTATGTACCTGTGATATATATATAGTCTTGGCTGTACAAAGGTGTCACTTGGTTAGAAATTTTATGAAGAACCCTTTCCTGTGCCAACTGGATGTGTACAATGTTGGGATATTTAATTGAATGATATTTTGAAATGTACATTTGTGATGTGTTACAAAAGAATACTTATGAATGACTTTCCGTCCGCAATTAGTGATGTCATATTTAGGACAAAAGTATGTTATTATTTTATATCACATGATAACATATTGTGACTACAGTATTTGATAATTAGTTATTAATCTTTTTCATTATTATTAAACAGATCCAACCACTCTCTACCAATGTGTACATTTTTATTCAAACAGTTTTATAACTTATCAATTCAAATGATTTGAATGAAATATCAATAAAAGTAAATTTCAAATTAACCTTTTACATTGTTTCCTAAATAAAATGTAGCTGTAAATGTTACAATACGTGCAATTTAAAAGTATATAAATTCTTGGTTGATATAATTTATACTCTTTCAATGTCGTTACACTTACAGTCACATATGATGAATTATCTAAAGATTTCCTGCACTGGACGTACTTCCTGGTAGGAAGGAGAATGGGACAGAATCTCACTCACTGATATTGTCTGTATGATATTGTGTTGTTGTGCAACGACTCATCTGAGTATATGCATTCTCTATTTATCTTCTATTTATATAAACTTTCAGCATTTTGTTGTGATGGATGGGTTTTATATACAATTTGTTATAACTTTGAAATGAAATATTTTCTCTATATTTGTATTTGGCATCAGTGTGGGACTTATTTATATGTTATATACATCTATACTAGTCTTTCAGTGTAATATCGCAACACAAATTATCTCCCTTCTTTCCCTTCTTTGATCAACGTGCGAAGGAAAGATTCGGTATTTCATGTTTAACTGAAAATCAGAAACTAGCAATAGAGAGTGCAGGAATCCATGGACAAGAAGTGTTTGTCGGGACTAAAACTGGTAGTGGCAAGTCCCTAACTTACGAGATTCTCCCATGTATCAGTGAAGCCAAAACGATCATCGCTATCATTTATGATGAGAGGCAGACTTTGTTACATCCCAATCCCTGATTCTTGTTGATATTTCTTCCCAACACTTGCTCAACTTGACTAATACAAGCAAATGTGGGGCCACAAATATCCCTCCTCTGCCGGGGACTTGTGTTGATGTGACACACGAGACATATAATGGCGAGCTTGTTCGTTGTAAACGAGGGCGATGGAGACGCCATTGAGTTCTGTCTACAAGAAACGTTTGCGCATCTCGCTCAGGAAGACGTTCTAGTTTTGCGGATGCATACGGAAATAACCGAGGCCTGGCGAATGATCACTTTTGAAACAACGTCGCTGATTGCACGACTAAATCTGATTGCCTCCAATCACGAGTCTTGAACGCTCACACCCTGAAAAGGGCCATATTAGAACAGAGGTTACGTAGGAAGATATGACAGGAGTAACCTCTGTGGGGAAGAGAATGAGGATGTGTATGAACAAATATATTTTGATAGCAGCGATTATTTGATACATGGGTTTTAATTCTGATATCAGATTTCCACACATCTAATGGTTTCATATGGTTGTGAAGTCTCTGAATGTACTGCATTTGCCCAAACTCTAAATCCCCCTTGACCAAATTGCCCCAAGAAAAACGTGAAAGTAATCTTCTTAAGTTTCCCCTACTAAGACCAAAGCTTTACATGACAGTTTTTCTTGTGTATATTAAAGAAACCAGTTCTCTAAGAGGGTATACAATTGGTTTAACAGTTGTTATCAAAAATATTTTAGTTCCATCAGCATTTATTTCTGCAAACATGGTATGTCTGCATAGTATTGTACCCAACTTTCTATATGTTTGTTACTTTGTCACTGAATGCACTTGAGTGATTATTGGCAATAAATATTATTCTTGCTACAAGTTTATGGTGTTGTGAATTGAAGAGTGAGTGAGTGAGTTTAATTTTATGCCACTTTTAGCAATATCATGGCAGGGAAAACCAGGAATGGGCTTTACACATTGTGTCCGAGTGGGGAAGAGTGTTTTGTGGTATGAGCGAACTCTTTATCCACTAGGCTATGCTACTGCCCCATGAACTGAAGAATAGAAGCATTCATCTGAGCAGGGCCAGCTAGTTATCCTGGCCAGAAGTAATGGTAAGAGAATATTTTAAGAATAGTTCAAATTTGTCGCATAGCTTAATTTATTCCAACCAAAATCAGCCTCCATGGTTAGAACATGCGCTTGGAAAGCGGAAGGCCGTGGATTCAATTCCCGGCTTCGTCATACCAAGAGACGTTAAAATATGGTACTTGTTGGTCCCTGCCTGGCGCTCGGCATTAATGGGTACAATAAGGACTGGTCTACTTGGAGTCAGTATAATGTGTCTGAGTGGGGTATTCATGCTTCACTGCGGCATGGTATCTCAGTGGGCTAGCACTATAAAACCTGGGCTAGTACAAGCAGCTGCACATACACATGCACACGCACGCACGTCGTCATATGAGCGAAATATTCTGAAGCACGACGTTAAACCCAATTTCACCTCACCTCAGTGAGCTAGCACTATAAAACCAGCTGAAGTCTGGGCTAGTACAAACAGCCAGAAAAAAACGTGCACCTTGTCATATGAGCGAAATATTCTTAAGTACGATGTTAAACCCCATTTCACCTCACCTCACCTGTTCCAACCAAAATATATTTATTTGTTGGCTCAAGTCTGTAGACAGTGTAATCAAAAAGGTGTTGCCCACCTTTCATACATGGACATGGAATTAGGATGTACAAATAAAAGGGTTTTGTTTTTATATTCAAATGTCGTATATTCTTTATTGATATTAAGTAAAACAATACCACTGCAACTGTTTGTGCAAGATACCTAACTCACATTTTCACTCGCTCACACACTCACTCAAACCCAACCACCCTCTCACTCACCTGATTAAGGTGATTTTCTGCATATATACTGAGGGAAACAAATAAGGGAACACATGAAAGCACAAGTGTTCCTTTAGCCTTTTCCAGGTTTCTTCACAAGCCTTGTATTGCACTGTAGGTGAAAACTTGAGAATAAACAAAGGAACACCACTTTGAACTGGTGTTCCCTTATTTGTTTCCCTCAGTATATTTTTATGTTCAGTATGCAGGTGTCTGGGGATCTCCTGGGCCCCGTTTCACAAAGCTCTCGTAGGCCTAGGATCTCGTAACTTTTCTCGTAGCATTCGTACCGCCTATACTGTAGGGGCGGTGGGGTAGCCTAATGGTTAAAGCGTTGGCTCGTCACGCCGAAGACCCGGGTTCGAATCCCCACATGGGTACAATGTGTGAAGCCCATTTCTGGTGTCCCCCGCCGTGATGTTGCTGGAATATTGCTAAAAGCGGCGTAAAAGCAAACTCACTCACTCACTCCTATACTGTAATATAGAGAGCATGGATGCTACTAGAAAAAGTACGAGATCTTAGGCTTATGAGAGTTTTGTGAAACGGGGCCCAGGAAGTCTCAACAGCTGTGATACTGCTTATACTGCTTATATTGGTTTATTCATAATTCTTAGAGCAGTACATCTAGGCTGTATTGATTCCATTTATGTCTGTGCTGGTTTAGTATGTGTGTGAAACTGCTTTCCTGTGAACTTTCCTTATTGGCTAATCAATGGCACAGCTGTTCCTGCTTTTGTTAGGTCTATGTTGTGTGGGTGAATAGTACTTTCTGGTCTCAGTCAGCAGTATTCCAGTTAGTCCAAGCATTAGAGTCTGGGTGAGGCAGACCAATGGTTAATAGCATGAACAATAATCGACACTGTCACCCAAGGTGCCCTTTTCAAAAACAACCTCAGGGCTACCACTGTCATAAATATTTTAAGGTCCACGTTATGCTAAGATCGATTTTTATGAGGGCACCCATGTCATATATTTAAAACAAAATGTTGTGCAAAATTGCTCCACGTAGGTGTGCCAGGATCTGCTGATTTTAGCCGATTATGATCCTTGTTTTGTCAGTAGTATACTCAAGGGTTACACGACATGGCAAACATCAACAGAGTGCACCTTTCTAGTGCATATAGGTGACAGTAACAGGGATGGAAATAACTTTACAATTGATAGTGTTCTCCGGTACACTGGCACATGTAAAATCACTTGCCCTGATAATTTTTCCACATTACCGACCGTTTTCTTGCTGATATTTTAGATAAACAACATAATTAACCTTGGAAAGTCAACTGGACACCGGTAAGGTGTGATATACAAATTTGTTTGCCCGACAGAAAAAAAACACTGGACTCGGACGTGGGGCAATGGGTTATTTCCATCCCTGAGTAATATTAGGGAAATAGGTAATTCTATAGATTCCTCTGTCGATTCTCCTGTACCGACACTCCTATTATGCTGATTTTATTTATTTTAAACATAGACTAAGTTGAATATTCGTTAACCGATCTGTCGATTCATTTATTCATTTTCAGTCTCTAGACATATCTCGTATGAATCACCGGTTCTTGTTCTCATCTGGCTACCCGTTCTGAAAACCTCTGTTAGTGGTTCAGTCATAGTGTGTGAGTAAATTTTGTTTTTAGCCGCACTCAATAATATTCCAGCTATATGGCTACGGTCTACATAATCGTGTCTGGGCCAGACAATCCTGTGATCAACAGCATGAGCATCGATCTACGCAATTGGGATACGATGACATGTGTCAGCCAAGTCAGCGAGCCTGAACACCGATCCCGTTAGTCGCCTCTTACGACAAGCATGGGTTGCTGAAGATCAGCTTTAACCCGGATCTTCATGGGTGCCTGGTTCAGTCATACAAGAGAGATGGTACTTGTTGTCACCCTGCCTGCCGCTCGACATCAAAGGGGATAAAACGAGGACTGGGCCCAGATTTTCGAAGCTCTCTTAGCGCTAAGTTTGTCGTAAGTGCCATACATTAACATTAACTTACGACTATCTTAGCGCTAAGAGAGCTTCGAAAATCTGGGCCCTGCAGGTCCATGCTGAGAATTATGTTTCTGAGTAGGTTATATATGTTCAGCGACATTGTGAAGAACGATTATAAACTGTATTACTTGCATGTAATTAATGTTCTTGAACACAAGAAACCCAATTTTACTTCGTTTAATATTTGTTTCAATTGC